GACAGTAGAACTTAATTAGGTTTCCACCGTCCCTGGTCAACTATACAGGAAACTATACATACACAACGTACAGATTTTGATGATCAATTATTTTTACAAAATTTGAATATAACGCAAGCATATAACAAATTAGAAATTATGATTAATTGTAAAATAACAATTATTTTGATACCCATTATGATACAAAAAGAATTTTTGTTGAATATGATATTCCAAAAAAAAGTTTTTGTGAACATAACCAGGTAACTCGTAAACGAGGATTGTCACTTGGCCTAAATTTTAGACACAATAACCGTTAATATTCGCAGAATATTTTTTTTTAATCATCTGTCTTTCCCAAGGAAAGATTTTTTTTTTGTGTTTTATCTATAATCAATTTAATTTTAATCATCATTTAATGCTTACATGTATAAATCTTCGAATAAAAGAGCGAAGAATTCATTACAATTTAAAAGCCGAACTCAACGGTTTAGAAATATTAATATGAAATAACCCTTTTGAAAGATCCATAAATAAAACTGTTTATAGTTTGATTTATATAACAATTCAAGACTTTGGAAACGTTCAACAAAATAAATACTTTTATAAGTCCAAAACAAACTTTGTGCAAAATAAATGTTTAATATTTTCCATTCAATATCAAGAGCGGTGTTAGCCTAATGGTTAAGATGAATGCCACCAAAAGATTAGAAAAAAAAAAGAAGATGAATGCCACCTAATCGAAAGATCATGAGTTCGCGCCACGTATGTGGTTTTTTTTTTTTTTTAATTTTGAATTTCGTTCTTTTCCTTTTTTACCAAATCAAGATATGTGTGAACTCGACATTTATAATTTGTGATGACATATCACTATAATAATAATTTTTCATCCATATAAACAGAACTGTCAACTGCGTAATGGTGGCTTAATGGTGCCCTAATGGTAGCTTAACGGTAGCTTAATGGAGTTGGGACATTAAGCACCCGTAATTCTACCTTAATGGTAGCTTAATGGTGACTTAATGGCGGTCTAAAAGCTACCATTAAGGACCTGTAAGCCACCATTAAGCTACATTTAAGCACCCATAGAGGACTTTGAGATGGCTTAATGGTAACTTAATGGTGGTGTAAATGTTACTTAAAGGTGCTTAATGGTGACTTAAAGACAACAATTAAAATACCATTTAGGACCTATAAGCCACCATTAAACCGGACTTAAAGAGTGTGTTTCATCTTGTGTTATTTACTTTTTTATTTTGTGAAAACCTGTTTAATCCATAAAATACTTGGAGTGACGTTGTAACTTTTGTTTACAAAAGAAGGAAAAACCAGCAGGGGTAATGCTGCATTTTGGAAAATTCTACTTTTAAGAATTGAATGATTTTCTTTGAAAAAATAAATAAAAATAATTAACTGCATGAAATTAATCAATGTAAAATGTAATCAGTCTATTTGTTGACGATTGCAGAGCTGCATATTGGACATGGCACAAAATAAACAAGGTAAAGTGGTCAGTGAAAATAAGATAAAATAAATGTCTTTAAAATACAAAATAAATAAATAAACTAATAATTTATCTTATTTATTTATTCTGTTTATAAGTATATCTACAAAGACATAAATAAATAAATAACATAAATGAATAAATAATTTATTTATTTTTGTAATTGACAAGACAAAGAAAGTTATCACTTATCTATATCCCCCAAAATCAGATTTTTTTAAAGTTTTATTTTATATGGTTTATTTTTTTTTTAATCTTAAACTTTGCAACAAAGTAATTTTTAAACATATTAAAACGACTTTCAATTATTTTGCGTCCATGTTGGATATCAAAATAATCTTCACATTATGCACAAGTTTAATTTGTCAATTGCAATTTCATATTTTACTTTATTTTGATTGAAAAAAAAAGATTTTTAAAACCCTAACACGATTATGAAAGAACTTCAAAGCCATTGATTGTTTACCAGTGACACGGGGTACACAGTAATGACACCTATTGTCTTTTTTCACTGACCATTATACCTTGTTTATTTTGTGGCAGAGAGCGACCGTGTACACTCTGCAGCTGTTTGAAATAACAGTTTCTCCTTGTATGAGAACCGAATTTTGTCAATCAAAACAAAATAAAAGTATCAAAAAAGCTATTGACGGGTTAAGATTGTGCATAATGACACAAGTATTTTCATATCCATCACGGAGGTAAAATAATTTAAAGTAGTTTAAATATACTTCAAAAAAAATTTGAGACACATTTTAGAGTCAAATTGTTTACATTAAATACATTTGTAAGCCAATAAATCCAACTTTCGGGATTATAATTAATTAATTTGTTTGTATTTTCAATATTAAAAATAAGTATTTTGATTTTTTTTACAATGACTACATACGTGCAATTAATCAGTTTTATTTATTTATTTATTAGCATTTAAAAAAAATTGATTATTGAATTTATTTTAAAAACTTTTTTTTCTAAAAAAAAGCATTACCATTGCTATGTTGGTGTGTGTGTGTGTGTGTGTGGTTGTGTGTGTGTTTTTTTTTTAAGATTGTGCATAATAAAAAGATTATTTTAATATCCATCACGGAATTAAAATAATTATAAGTAGATTAAATATGCTTCAAAAAGACTATGAGACACATTTTAGCTTAAAATTGTTTAAAAAAGATTAGCCAAATAAATCCAACTTTCGGGTGTACAGTTAAATTTTTTGCATATTCAATTTAAAAATAAGGAAAAATATAAAAGAAAATGAATCAATTTTAGAAACTAAAAAAAAGTCATTTCAAGTATTATATGGATTAAACAGGTGTTTGCAAAACAAATAATAATAAAGAAATAAATCTATTAATTAATTAAAATATAATTAAACAATTTATGAAAAAAATGATAGATAGATATTTTTTGAAACAATGATTTATCAATTTTTCAGAGTTATTATAGAGTTATAAAGGTACTAAAAAATCCTCCTTACAAATCAAAAAAATCTGTACAGTGCTCTGAGTGTGAGTATACTTCTTCTTTTTGCTTCAATGAACATGTAGAGGGGCGTACTGTGGCATATATTGGAGTTTACCGTGGTTGTCGGTAGGAAACAGTAGCCATACAGTTACACACTGTAGGCGTACTAGGGCCTACTGTATGTAACTGTGGCATGCTGGGGATACATACAGTGGCATACAGAGATTTACTCTATATACAGAGCTGGCATACCGTACAATACTGTAGATATACCGTAGAGTACTGTGAAAATGCTGTAGGATACAGAGAAAGACAGGGGATGTTCATACGGACAGGGGTTTTAAAAGCCTGTAGTGGCAGTTAAAGTAATCAAATTTTATTAGATTAACAAATCCATTTGAAAGTTATCATCTGACTTTATTTTCCATCTTTAACTTCACACGGTTCACAAGAAGTCCAAGTGCTTGTCCTGTCAATCAAAATCATTCGACACAGTGAAGGTTTGGCAATCTCTTTTCACCGAACATGCCGAAGGAAAAGAGTAACATTGTATTTCCAGGAAGTTTTAATATATTTCCCTATCATTTCTATGATTTTTGCATTCCTGTAGAAAAAAATAACGGGATCATATACTTGAAAGGATTAAGTTTGAAATTGAATTAGAAACATATTTCCAGCCAACTTAAAATACTACTGTCGGTGCATGTATATTTTGAAATACTATTGTTTAATGACTGTTTAATGTTCGTTTTAAGACTGATTTTCTTGTGTTACAATACACATTAAATATCAATTAAAATATACTGGATATACTAACTAAGAATTTGATTTCGGGAGAAAAGATGCCCGGGTGAGGGGTGGGGGTTGGGGGGGGGGGGCTATTAAATATACTGAATGGCAAGCAAATATTTAGGTACGGTGAATGAAGGAATTTTCCTTCTCTAATAACAGACCTAACGTAATGTACAAAAAATCCTAATGTATTACATTTTAAACAGTTTTTTTTTCTAAAATTTAGAATCACGCTATTAATTTAATAAGCTCTAGAGATATTTAATTAACAGAATATCTGCAGTTTTGTTCATAATTGTCAGACCTACGTCTAGTTCTAATATGTTGTCGTGCATTTTTTTTAAATACATACAATTTTTTTTAAATAGAGACTTGTTATTATCCATCCCTTAATGATTTGTCGTCTTTCACATTACAACAAAATGTCGCCGTGCGTGAAGCATTTGTACATTGCCCTTATTTAAATTTAATATTTTAGCACCGCTCTACATACATGTAGCTACTTAATGTATTATTTTCCAGGGAAATTTCATGGATAAAGTAACAGCTAAGTTATAAAAATAAAAATATAAATATTGTTGATAATTTTTGCAATGAAAAAGATTTTCTTCAAACACTATATCTTAGTTATTTAATTAAAAAACGTGTAAATCCTTACAATCAAAAAGATAAGTTCCTTCACTTCGGAGTTCCGAATGACCATGAAAACTGAACGTTAAGTGAACAGTAACGCAAGGTGAACGCAAAGTAAACGGAACGAAGAGCGAACGGTGAACGTTTTGTGAACGGTGAACGCGAGCGCACGGTGAACGCAAAACTGTGAACGGAGAGCGAACGATAAACGTACGCTGAACGAACTGTAAACGAACGGCAAGCGAACGGAAAATGGAAAAGTAGAACGTTCAAGGGACTGTATCTGTTGATACATGTATTTTCTAATGTTAATTTGTCAGGTTCACATATCTTTCAATAATACCAGCTTTTCCGTGATTTTACAATTTAGATAGAAAATAATCTGTTAATTGTCAGAATAAATTTTAATGCAAAAGCATACATTGTACGCGGGTTAAATAAGATTATATTATTAATTAATAAAAATCAATTATAGTATTTATTTACATTTATAGTCTAGCATTTTTTGTTAATAACACCTTGTAATAACACACCTAACGGGGGCATTTTAGTTCAAATATACTGATTATTAATTGCATCTTTAAAAAATAATTTGTCGAGACTAACAAAATGCAATGTTCTATTTTTGTACACTGAATAGGTTGCCCCGATTATTGGTTTCCTCTAGAAAATAACTGCTATTTATTTTCTAATGCCACTGCAACATTTAGTGAAGCACAAGTGAGTAAAATAAAACTAATATTTAAAAATCATTTGAAATCTTGTATTACATTCTATATTGATTCGATGGTTAACACAGTTTCAAATGTTTATTCAAAGCATGTTTGTGCTAGAGACAGCGCTTACATCCTTGAAGATTTAAGCCCAGAGGAAAAGTCTTTTACAAAGTCGAGAGGTCAGCATTTCTCTCTCTAATTCTTTATAACACTACGTTATCTTTACACCATGAATTATCTGACTTAAGGACAGATGATTAAACAAAATTTCATCAAAACTACAAATAAGAAATTAAGTCTAATGAATAAAAGTGAAGTGTAATGATTTTACCGCTTCGATATTTATTTTTTCTTTCGAAGTGTTAAATTATTTGGATTTTAAGTGACAAAATATTACAACGATTAAAAAGGATGGTATCAGAAAAGTAGTACAATGTTAAAAATCTTAGAAAGTTTATAATTTAATTAAATTTGAATGGAAAATCTTCTGAAAATCGTTTATTACCAAACATGTAAAATTTTCTATTGATACTTGTACCAATCCAGTCATCCATATTTTTGTTAATATCATCTGTCCCGAAGAGAAAAGTAAATGTACATCATCGAAAGCAATGGAATTAAGTTATACATAACAGAAAAGAAGAATTAAAATTCCTTATAATTTGTTTGGCTTTTAGTTTTTACCTTCATGTGGATTGGCGTGACAGATAATCTGAAAGAAGGAGTCTATGTCTATGAGTCTACGGGATCCAGAGTGACCAATGGCGATTGGGTCAAAGGTCAACCACAAGGAGGAAGAAATGAAAACTGTGCAGTAGCTTTGAAAGATAGCAATTGGCAGTGGCATGATTATCCATGTAGTCATAAGTTTGATTATGTCTGCAAGAAAAGTAAAGAAGGATTAGTGTAATTGCTGACAAATCTGTAAACAAACTAAGGAATGTTAATTTTGATGTCATCATGACATAATGAATTTCTTTTCTCCATATTATCCTTATCAAAAACATGTACATGTATAAGCAAGAAAGCACTTTAGTTGTTTAAAATATATTTTACCGTATTCATTTTATTTACATGTAAAAATAGTAAACTATGGCTAAGGAGGTACGATTTGGAGCTTTTTGAGTGTAAGATAGATGCAATTAACAGGTACGATTTTAGTCAAGTTATTTTGGGGAAGAAAGGAAAACGATTCTTTTATGCAAGCCTGATAATTCGTGATTATTTTGTGGTTCTTCAAATTATAAATTGTAAAATTAGTTAAGCTTTATAGGAGACCTCTGAAATCTGAAGACAAACACTTGATTCCTTTCAGATTTGTTCTACTGTATCCCTCCTTGATCCAAAAATTCCTTTCTTGACCCCCCCCCCCCAAAAAAAAAAAAACCAACATTTAAAACAGTTAACAAATCTCATAAAAACTTGAGTGCACTGTTTATTGTCCTAGTGAGTTTGTACGGTACTGCAATAAAGAGATGACATGTGTTGAGAGGGTGTATATTTAACAACATAAGAATTGTTTGTCGTCTTAATTCTTGGAATCAAAGTCAAAAGAAACAATTGTATTTTATTTTCATTAATTACATCAGCTGAAGGATAAAGTGAACTTTTCAAATGAAAGGCCAAGCTTTTTTTTCAAAAAAGGATTCAGAGAGATTTTAAAGTAATCAATTTTTTTTTGAAGATTAACAAACCCATTTGACAGTAAGCATCGACTTTTATTTTCCTTCGTCAAGTTCACACGGTTCACTCGAAGTGCACGTACCTGTCCTGTCAATCAAAATAATTTGACACAAGAGATGTGAAAATCTCGCTTCTCCGAACATACCGAAGTCAAAGAGTCAATTAGTATTTCCAAAAAGTTTTAACATTTTTACATTATTTCTACATTTGATTTTCGCTTTTTCTAAGGAAAAAATGAATAATGGTTATACATGTATATACCTGGAAGGATTAAGTTTGAAATTAAAATTGAAACATAATCCCTGCCAAATCAAAATACCACTGTCGGCATATGTATGTATATAATGACATGTTGATGTTTGTTTTAAGAATGATTTTTTTGTGTTACAATACACATTGAATATTAATAGATATATACTGAAAATACTAACTACATGTAAGAATATTTGATTCCGGGAGAAAAGGCGCCGGGGGTGGGGGTGGGGGTGGCTCTTAATAATACTGAATGGCAAACATATATTTAGTTACGGTAAATGAAGGTTTTTTTTTTCCTTTCTAATAATACAATTTATAAACGTGAAGAAGAACAAAAATTCTAATGTATTACATTTTAAACAGTTGGTCTTTTCTAAAATTTAAGATCACACTATCAATTTAATTTGCTCTACAAATATTTAATTAAGTGAATATCTGCAGTACTATTCATAATTCTCAGACCTATATGTAGTTCTAAATTGTTTTCATGCATCTTTTCTTTAAATACGTGTTAGAAATAATTTTTTGTGTATTCTTGTTTTGTGAAAGACTTGAATTATACTCACCGTCATTAGAAACGCAACACCCCAATTTTAGGATGAAAATTATATACAGGGTATAACTATGTACCAAAAGAAAATTAGGACATCTTTTACTTTGCCAAATCAGTTATTTAACGGTTGAATGAATTTCTTTCCATTACCGGAAGTTGCTCTTTAGCCCTCTTAACAGAATTCAAAATTTTCCATTTTTAATAAAATTTTAACAATATTTTTTGATTCCAAGGTTTTGAAACTGTTAGTCATAAGTATTGTACTAAAAGGCCGGAAAAACTCCCTCTTTCTTTACCGGATGTGCTGCCTATATTTCCTCAAAATGACTGATAGCAAGAAGGGGGGATGTTTTAAGAGTTATGTGTTACCTTCAAAAGTTTAATGATAACATCAAAAATGAATATATTTGGGTAAAAAGTAAATTTACAAAAAAAAAAAAAAATAATGCTCCATTTAAACATTAAATGTTATTTTTAGACCTTAGAGAAGAAACAAATACCCGTTAAATCTTAAAACATCACCCCTTCCGACCATTTATTGAAAACGTACTAGTCCGCCATATACAACAAATGCAGCGCGATTTCCACCATGCACTAAGTTTATTGATGTCTTAATCTAAACGAAATTAATATTCTTGGGCATTTTTAAATGCATGTTTTTCAGATATTGCGGTCGAATTTTCTCTAACCTGGCGTAGTGTAGCAACTTTTTGACTTCCGGTCAAGAAACTGCCATTTATGCTATTGAAACACATGAACCTGATGGGTCGTTATATAATGTATATTTGCATCTGCAGCTCTTTTTTTCTTTATTTTGAGAATTTCTAGCATTAGCAATGAAAAGCAGTCATTTTGAGGAAATATAGGCAGCACATCTGGTAAAGAAAGAAGGATATTTTCCCGGCCTTTTAGAACAATACTTATGATTAACAGTTTCAAAACCCTGGAAACCCAAAATATTGTTAAAATTTTATTAAAAATGAAAAATTTTGAATTCTATTAAGAGGGCTGAAAAGCAACTTCCGGTAATGGAAACAAATTCATTCAACCGTTAAATAACTGATTTGGCAAAGTAAAAGATGTCCTAACTTTTTTGGTACATAGTTATAACCTGTATATAATTTTCATCCTAAAATTAGGGTGTTGCGTTTCCATTGACGGTGAGTATATTATCTATCCATTAACGATTTCTCGTCTTTTATATTACAACAAAATGCCGCGCTTGAAGTATTTGCCCTTATTTAAATTTAATATTTTATTAAATCTTTCTACTTCATGTAGGTTCTTAATGTATAATTTTCCAGGGAAATTTTATGGATAAAGTAACAGCTAAGTTTTAATAATAGAAATATAAATATCTTAAATACTTTTTGCATTGAAATAATTTTTCTTCAAACACGATATCTTAGTTATTTAATTAAAAAACGTGTAAATCCTTACCATCAAAAAGATAAGTCCTTTCACTTCGAAGTTCCGAATGACAATAAAGACTGAACGATAAGTGAACGGTGAACGCAAATTAAACGGAACGAAGAGGGAACGGTGAACTTTTTTTGAACGGTGAACGCAAAACTGTGAACGGAGAGCAAACGATGAACGCACGCTGAAGGAACGGTGATCTGACGCTGAACGAACGGTGAGCGAACGGAAAAATGGGAAAGTAGAACGTTTCAGGGACTGTAATAGAATTAGACAAAAAGTGAAATTCATGCAACGAAGGTCAAAAGTCAAAGAATCGGAAGGCAATGTAAGGTTAGGAGATCGATGACATGACAGGAAAAAATAACTATCGCATTGAACATACAGCAATTACATCAGCCTGGGATTTCAATGGTTCTGTGTATGCCAGTGTGGATGAAAAAACGCATGAATTTAACATTGTAGACGATATCGGCTATAAATTGAAGACAGGAATTCTCATGACTAACAGTTATGGACATCTACGAGGGCCGTTCAAAAAAATTACGCGAACTGTGCTATTATTTACTCTTACAGACGTCAAATAGTTATGAAATTTCACAGAAATACGTATCTTAAAGATTCCAATAAATTTTGGACAAAATTTCTGTATCTTAAAAAAATTCTTCGAAAAGTATCGGTATGTTGATATCGCTGATGGAGAGGTACGGATCACGATAAAAAGCAAAAGCATGCGGAATCCAAAATTTAACTCAATAATTTTCTATAATTCGTGATATTTTTTGACAATTTTCTCAAATGTATCTTTAAATTATTCTATTATTATGCATTTGGATTTCTGACGTGATATATGAAGTACTAAGAGAAATATAGTGATTTTTCTCTGATGCGATTCCCGTGAAAACGACTGTGAAAATGTCTCCTGAATTGACGGAGCACCAAATTTTTGTTAAGTTATATGTAATGCTCGAGATATCGCCAACATAGATCCAAAATATGCATAATAAAACATGTAGTAAACTAGGGTATTCGTGACATTCGTCCACAAAAAGCATATTGATATTTTAGACCGTTAGACCTCTGTATAAAGGCTATACGGGAGGACGGGAAGAAGATTATTAACTAAAAAACTTTATCCGAACTGTAAAGAACGTGAATGAGAATCACCAATTATCACACTATATCTCATAAATACCTGCAGTTTTTGGTTTTAAAACAAAAAAAGAATATTCTTTGCTTGTTTAATAGATGTTTAACCTTAACAAGAAATGGTGTTTGGATGTTGAGTAGATAAGGTAACTCAAACTGTACAGATACTCTTGGGAAAATGTTGAGAAAATGAAAGCTCAATCACATATTTTTATAATACGTCTGACGTCGAAGATTTTGCTGCTCCGTGACTTAAGGATGGATTCTTCTCATATTTCTTATAATTGCAGAATCTTGATTTTCTGAATACTTATTATTCAGACTGTGTTTTCTTTTTTAACATCGAAACACTTCGGTTAAATCGGCCTTGATTTTCAGTCAAGGTCATTTGAAAGTCAGTCCTAAAAATAGTACTTTTACACAGAAAAGTATTGAAATTTTGGCAGAGGAATAAATTTTGGAGTCAGAAAAAATACCTTGCTTACTAAAATTAAAGTTGTAACTCATTATTGATCACTAACATGAATTGAGTTGGTGAAAAGAAAACATGAAATCATCGATATTCGACAAATATACTTAATCCGAATTTCCTCGAATTTTCGAAAAAAAATCTGATTTTTCATGAATTCACATTAAATTTCATGTCAATTTTTACAATTGACCATATAATGTCAAATATTTACATTTCTCCCTGTTGATTCATCAAAGGTTTAAGATTAATTTACAAGGTAAAAATGATAAGGTAATCGGACTAATTAATGAAAAAAAAATTAACCCGAATTTTCTCTAAATTTTCTTAAAAATCATAAATGTAAGAATTATTTTATAATAACTTCCTAAAATAAATAACCTCGTAAAGATAACAAACCAGGGATATAAATGAAGACACACATACCTTTATTTATTATACTTCTATAAATAAATATTGATTTCACAGGTATTTTACACA